GAAGATGGGAGGGATGACGACAGGCTGCTTGAGGAGAGGAGAGACCTCGTGGGGGCTGCTGAAGGCCATGGAACCGAGCAGAGGCTGCAAAGACTTGGCCTTGTCAACAATGGCCTTTTCGGCGCGTCCTTTTCGCGTTCCAAGGCAGCAGCAACTCGGAGCTCGGCTACATCTTCGTGATCATGAGCGAGATAGGCAGAGGACCCACTGCCTGAACCAGCTCCGCCGCGTGGAAAAGAGGCAGCCTTTCCTGCTCGGAGTAAACCCAAAGAGGCCCGAGCGGATACCCCACATCCATAGTCCCTATACCAGTAGAACTCTCGCGGGCGGTAGCGCATAGTAGTAGCCATGATACTGGTCTTGTTGTGCTGCTCGATGATGATATTGGCAGCGTTCTTGTCTTCAATCTCCATGCTGGCAGGAGGATCGCGGTCTGCTGGACGTGTGGACCACGCAACGCAGTCGAAATCGGCGGGAAGGGGAAGGAGACGGCCCGACTTTGAAGTGGACATGGAAAAATTTGCGTGTCGAGGATGAGAGGGACTATGAGGGATGTCGACGTGGCGGCGAGAGCGAAAGCGAGAGTGATGAAGCGAAATAGATACGTGAGTGATCGCGCGACAATAGAGGCTATTTGCACCCCGCCAAATCGTCGTTTTGATCTCCTTGAAACTCGGCTAACATTTTGCTGGGATTGGGGAGCTCCACCCGATCATTTTCTGAGCATGTGTCGTAAAGTGTGTGCGGAATGGATGTGGACGGGCTCTGAGCTACAGTTTAGGACGCAAAAAGTCTCCAGGGCTCTCACCAGCGGGAACCCACACAAGATTGAGTGCTTTTGGGCAAGGAGTGGCCAATTTCTGAACATACCGCGCAGTACGCAAACACCTCTTTGCACTTGCTCCACACCATCATTTTCTGAGACCCGGCTAACATTTTCTGAGATTTCAGGAAATCCGAGCTGCAAATACCCTCTAATCAGAACCTTATCACACGCCCGAAAAGGTACAGGTATCCGGCTAGCTAGCTTGTCTACCACTCAGGCGGCTCGCAAGCTCGCCTTGCCTGAGCTAACAAGCTTAAGGGTGCGGACGATCACGATTGAAATGGACAGTAACTAGAGGAAGGCGTACCTTAGACCTAATTTCGCGGGCCGTCTTGTAGCTTTTTGATTCGGATTTGTTTATGGTCGGAAAAAGTTAACAATCCAATCTCGGAGCCTCGGGCTGGGAAAAAAAAATGAATAATATTATTAACCAAATCGTGCGTCTATACAAACATGGACGAACGTAACGGGACAAGCCCGAGGGTTACAAGTACGACGCAAGAATAAGTCGCGCGATTCCAGCGGATGGATGCTGAAGGCCCGACGAGCGTGTGCTGTTCGGGCGGCGTTGCCACCAGGAACCGCGTATGCAAAGTCTACGCACTCGGCAACATGACGGACTCCCCGTCGTCATACACAACCCTACACCCCCTGCCCAAAAACCTCCTAACCATCTCTCTCCCCATCTCCCTCTTCACCGCCCACCTCTTCTCATCATGCAGCACCACTTGCTCAAGACATGGAAACGCCGGCCCCGCAAGTGCGTCTACCTGTCCCCTCAGCACAGGCCGCGACGGAATCCACTCGTCCGGATCCAACTTAAGCCGTACGCGGCGTACCGAAGCGTACGTAGCTGGTGGTAAGACGGCAATCTCGGGCGCGCCCAGCGTATACACGAGCTCCTCAAGCCCCGGAAAACGACCGAGTATCCGGCGCATCGTATTGGCGGAGAGCACCATCTGTGGTGCAAACGCGAATTCAAGCACTCGGAGGGAGAGCGCGGCGGTGGTGGTGAGGAGGTCGAGCTGGGTGGGCGGGAGAGTAGTGTGCAGGACGAGGTGCTGGAGATGCGGGGTGTATGATGGCCTGCGGCAAAATAGCGACGTGCGTCGGGGCTGCGCGTGGTAGTACGAGCAGTTGAACCGCACTGTGGACAGGGACGCGGGGAGGGCGAGGTCCGTAAGAGCATTGGTGCGGTCCGAGGAGAGGGCAAGGTATCGCAGATTGGGTGCACAGATGACCATCTCGCGTAGACGGGCGATATGTGCGGTGCCGTAGAGCCGCGAATCAATGTCGCTTTCGTGCCACTCGAGGCGGCGAAGGCGCAAAAGCGTGCTCGTACAAGGGTTGGCGACGAGTGTGGACCAGAATGCGACGCTAGCTGCGTCGAGTCGTAAGCACGGGCGCACAAAGACCTCGAGATTGGGGCATAGCGCCAGAAGCTCGGCGAGTCCTGGGACGTTGGAGGGTGCGGGGATAGCAATGGGTTGCGTGTCGGGCTGTAAGAAGATGTGTGTGCGCCGCCGAGGAAGCTCGAGACGCTTGACAAACAGGCCGTAGTGGTCCGGCCCTCCTTCGGCAGCAGACCGCATGAGGCCCAGGAGAAGACTCTCCAAACCTCGTGCTTCGGATATCCGCACATCTTCGTACAGAAACTCGGCGGCCATCGCGCGAAATCGGCGTGAGACGCTGACGAGAGAGACACACGTCTTGAGTCTCGAGAATTCCTGCTGGACAGCATACGCCGTCTCTTGGAATTCTTGGAGCTGTTCAAATGGGGTGTAGTCGACGTGCCGCGGGGTCTCAGGAGCTGTCGCAAACCGTAATATTGCTCGCCAAATTTCTGGGGGTGGGTACGAAGGCATGGAGGGTGCCTTTTCCATAGATCGCGTGGGTTATATAGTCGAACGGACTCGGAGTGACCGGTGACATGTCGCGGCGTATAATGACAAGTACACGATGCGGACCAAATCCGAGTAGCTGTACTGTGTGGATTCGGTGGGATTGCCGCTCAAAAAGGAAAGACAGATGCGCTACACAAATTTAACGTCCAAGTGAATTCAGAGAAGCCTAGTGGACACACCGAGGAGCCCTTTCGCAGTGCACGATGTATCCGCCGACGGACAGTCGGTGCTGCTTACACTGAGGCCCAGTGTCATGTAACGTCGGACCCGCGGTCAGATGAATGGTCTACCTGGTTCGTGGCGTGCCATTCAGCGCGGATGTAGCCTGGTGCATTCAGCTAATTCCGCTCCTTGAAATAGACAGAAACAGGAATGGATCGAAACTCACCCAGGGTTCCCGCTGCTTCTTCCTACCCGCTCATTTTTCCGTGCTCCACGCGTGCATGGCTCTATGTTTACGCCCACAGAGAAATAAGTAGAAGTTCCGTGGTGGTGGTCGGAGCATGGGAAGGTGAGGTAAGCATTCGGTACAGCATTTCTGATTGACAGTCAACAACTCTTTGAACACAGCAAAATGATGGTTACGCCTATCAATCTTTCTCTCTCCCATCCATCATGGCTGGCCCAGAGGATAGAGCAGGCTCCGAACGAAGCACCTCGACCGCCTCGAATCCCACCTGCACTCCAACCCCAACCTCCTCCTGACCCTCGTCCTACTCATCCTCATCGGACTGCGCCCTGCGCGTCTCGCAGCCCAGCTCCGCGCCAACGACGACGACGCCTGGCTCGAATTCCGCAGTAATCTCATCCAGAGGTGGCAGACGGTCATGATAACGACAGGACTCGTCATGGGCGCCGCCGCCTCGGCCGTGTTCAGCGACAAGGTCGCAGGCGGGAGTTATCTCATGGCGCTGGCGTCCTTGTCTTGTTCTCTGGTAGCCATCACTTTTGGTACGGGGCTTAGTTTCGTCGTGCAGGACGCCCCGCCAAGTTCCATCGTTGTAAGTCTTGTGCCTCTACTTCAAGGGGGGTGATTGACGAGTTACCCAAGAGAATAGCCCGTAGGCCTCTAATCCTCCTCGCTATCCTCGCCCTGCCTACGTTCTTCGCAATCGGCGCAATGCTCTGCTTCTACGCCGCCATCACGGCACTCACATTTCAGAACCTGGATACCAAGGCCGTTGATATCCTCGCACGGATCGGCACCACCGGCGGCGCGGCACTCATTGCTGGGGTCATCTTCGCGGCGGGGTGGTTGGTGTGGGATATGGATAAGGACGATGATGAAGAAACCGAGGTGCCGATGCGTGAATTGGGAAGCCGAAGTATACTGTAGTCGTGAGTCATGCCACTCGTGAACCCTACAGTCCAAAATTCAATGATTTCTCTTTCAGCCGGGGCGAAGCAGAGGCTGGGCTCGTCGGAAAACTCATGTTGCGCGCGATAAAGTGCGTGTGGCCGGAGACTGCTATCCAGTAAATTTGCGCGGGTCAAAGTGCAGCTCTATCATGACGCTGAGCGAGAGACACGGTACCGCACGGGTTATGGGACGAGGGGACGCGGGAAAAGCTCGCGGATCGTTTTTCGACGATTTCTTTGGTTAGATGCATGTTTCCGATCAGCTGGATGACGGGCTGCAGGGAGTTGAGTTGCCTCTTGCGAATCAGCTCAGATGCTGCAGTGTCAGATTCAATATGCAGGGAGCATGCGCCGTACGGTTCCGGGTATCTGCAGAATGTTTCCCTCTCGGTCCGGGAAGAAGCAGGACGGAGGCAGGGCGGCGCTGAATCAGGGACAATGCGAGGACGACGGAGAGAGCCAGCTGCTGCACCCACATCTCGTCCATCGGGGGTGGAAGTAGGATATCATCCGCAAGCGTAGAGAACGCGAAGAATAGTGTGCGGGCATTGACAGTTGGCAACATGGATTACTGCGTAGGGAGTGGTCTGCATCCCAGCAAATTGGAGGATGAGAGGAAGAAGAAAGAAAAGTTGTGATTGATCACTTGATTGATGATTTCGATGCCAAATGATCCCGGGACGAGCCGTCTATGGCCGATGGGCACTCGGGTGACCCGTAGATTTCGTTGGAAAGCTGAGATAAAGGATAATCGCCAACAAAAAAGGTCGCCTGAGCGTTGCCTTTTTTTGCGGATGTCGGGACTCCATCTTGTGAGCGCGGTCCAATTAGTCTGGTACATATACTTAGTCCGCAAGATTTAGGACTGGGAAGAATCGATTGGGATCAGGCCGATCAATCCGTCGTCTGAACGCCCTGTAGTCTAATGGTACGACGTCGCCACATCTCGTGAGGAGGAGATTGCAAGTTCGATTCTTGTCGGGGTTTTTTGAAAAATCATAACCGCCCAACTACGATTCAGGTTCCTTGATCCGACGGAAGGCTGGCGATGCACAATCCACCCGGAAGAACACCCAAGCCTCGCCCTGCCCTGCGTCCATAACCAACTATACGAATCACTTGGGCATTTCTCAGAGAATATATATTTTCTGAAGCACTCTCCACGCCATTCTCATCATCTGCTCTTACTCGGAAGCGCTGGCTTTGCCAGCTGAAACCTTGCTTGCGGGAAGGGGAGGAGAACCGGAACCAGCCATAATATATTAACAGAGAGATGCTACAAGATCGGAGAGACGGTACAAGAGAGAGATAAAGTATGGCAGGTATACTGTAGCAAAACCAGACACAAATTTACGCAAAATGACACAACCTCACTTTGATGAGAGAGCACAACGTGAAGCAACGACACAGGTTTATATTCTGATACCAAAACGACACAGCCCGATTCTGCAACAAACTTGAACTGCAAGCTGAAATCAAAATGCGGCAGACGGAACAGAGTCCCTTGACATCAAACTTTGATTCACTGGGTGTTTGGCATCAAAATTCCCGCCGGCATGTTGATGGAGAGAATCCGGGGGATGGAGCGACGGAGGTAATCCGGGTATATTCAACGCGGGGTGTAAGAGAGATGAATCCACGCTGGCCGAGGCAAACAGAAACTATAATCATCAAGATTCAACTCAGAAGACCCGTTGGCCACTGGTCAACGGCATGATCTCGTCACTGATTGGAAATCAACGGCCATTCTTCGGCAAATGGCAATGAACTTCCAATCCAACACCAAGGAGTCTAAGTTGAGTGGTTGCTCTTTGGTTGTGTCATTGGTTTTGAACATGATTTCCGGGGTGTGTTGAATGTGTTGACTAATTCTGAGGTTGTGTCGTTTTGCGTCAACTCGGCCAAAGTGGTTCTTTCTTTGTAAGAAAATGGCTCAAGTTGTGTCATTCCTTGTCTCAAAACCACCAGGTGTGTCAAAAAGAGGTTTTGCTACACTATACCTGCCATAATAAAGCTACAAATGAGAGACGCTACAAAGGAGGACATATAAATTAGTAACTAGTCTTTGCAAGCCTTCTTGTGGGTGGGCAACACCAAGCTAATGTCAGCACCACGCTTGAGGGGAGAGGTGCGAGCGGGCAGGACAGACGGCTCCACCAGGACATCGAGCTTAGGGCTCCGACCCGACTGTCAAAATGACGGGTCAACGAGCCGTCACGACGGGTGCCGGCCCGGCCGTACAGCCCTCTGAAGCCACAATTTTGACGGCCAGGTCCGGGTCCGGTTCCTTGGCTGACGGGGTACCCGTTCCCGGCCGTCGACGGGCCATGACGGGTGGTGACGGGTCCTCGGCTAACTACCCATGCCGAGCTGCCGTCACCACTTGATGCTCCAGGGGTAGCACACCTGGGTCATCGGCAATCTCCCCGATGGTCCACTAATGGGCTTCTGGAGGCTTCCCGAGTACCAATCCAATACCAATCCGTAATTTTGACTTGACATCACGTTCACATCAATCTGATTTCTGATTTAGCTGGAGGCACAGGCTGTCACCGCTCTAACCCGTCATGACGGCCGTGACGGGTCTGACGGGTACCACCCGGCCGTTTTGAGGCCTCGCAGCATGGTCTGACGGCCGGGTGGGGCCCGTCCGACCTCCCATGACGGCCGTCAGAGCGACGGCCATCGCCGTCAACGGCCGGGTCGGAGCCCTAATCGAGCTGGGCGATGTCGGCCGAATAGTAGTGAGTGCCACCGATCTTGACGTGGCAGAGAGTGAAGCGTGCCTCCACCACAGCACCGGGGAGCTTGTGAACGTAGTCGCCAGGGGGGATAATGAGGCCGTCGATGTCGTAGGCGGCAATCGGCACCAACTTGTGGGTGAGCATCTGGCACAACTTGTCCACCTCCGCACGAACGGCGGGGGTGGGGGTCGGCCAAGTAGACATGAGGAACTGGGCACCGAGGTCCTCTGCGGGCAAAATGTTCAGTATTGCGTAGCCCAGAGTCAAGAGTAACACATACCGTTAGGGTCGTCACCGCTCTCACGAAGCTCCCCTTGAACGTCGGCGGAAAGGGGCTGCAGGTAAAAACCAGTCAGCTGGAGAAGAAACAAAAGCGGAGGCGACGCACCTCAGCGGCCACATGGCGCAGCTTGACAGCGCGCTCGTCACCCTTGCCATCCACAGCACCCGACATCGTCTTCTTCGGGTTGGGGTAACATCAGTCACAGTATATTCCGAGCAACGACACGGACGATTTACCAAGGCGGGGCGACTCGAAGGCGGATGGAGAGGAAAGACATGTGTGAGAGGCAAGATGTGCCAATAGCCCGATGCACTCCCAGTGTCAACGGACTAGGGCAATGAACGGGTTGTCGACGCTGGATTGGCACATTCGAGAGTCGAGACGGCCAGAGTCCAGTCTTCCATGTTGAGTGGCACATTCAAGACGGCCAGACAAACATGGGTGGAAGGAGGAAGCGGACGCGTGGAGGGAGGACGGAGGTTGGAGCGCGAGCCTTCGAAGGGATGGGATACAGAGTGCCAGAGATCATTAAGGTTCACCAGGGGTAGAGGTAGAGGTACGAGTGGCCCTACCTCTACCCTTACCTCCGAAACCTCTGACCCTTCAGAGGTTGACCTCTACCTTACCTCTGGACCTCTGATGTGCCATCAATTTCTGATAAGAGACATGATGGCACATAAAATCAGTCAGAACTTTGAAAATTGTGAACCCAAACTCAGCTTCTTGGCCCTACGATGTTCATACCAGCTCAATTTGACCACCAGAGTCATGATTTCTTGACAAATGTGATCATCATCAACACAGATCAAAATTTGATCGCCATTAAGAAAAAACTGTTCTGGTCCAAAAAGTGTCTCCGAGTCTATTTCTGAACAGTTTGAACCAAACCTTGCTGTACCTCTGAACCTCCAAAGGTCTGTCAAAAGTCGGGAGGTTTCAGCTAGTTCGTACCTCCACCTCTACCTCTGTCGACCTTACCTCTGACCTTCGGAGGTAGACCTCTACCCCTGGTGAACCTTAGAGATCATGTTCTTGCAGCAGCAGCACGCGCTTGCACGATATGTTCGTTCTCTGGCATCAGCTGTTTGCTTCTGGGCACTGGAGGAGATATTGGTGAGCCGAAAGCGCGACATGGTTGGCGGCAACGGTGGCGGATAGTGGTGGATTTCAAGTTGTCGTCAAGTAAGCGATGTCTGATGTCCGACTTGATCGGAAAAAGGCAATCAGTATCCCTTATGAACCTTGAAAACGCAGCCGGGCCCACAATGACTTTTTACACTCGTACTTCTACTCTGGGCAAAAAAAAAACTTCGACAAGAACGATATATGCGGGAGAGAAGCAGCCTTCTACCAAAGATGATTGGATCACAATATAAAAGAAAGCAAGTTATGTAATTATGACCTGGGAGAGTAAACCTTGGCAAGCAAGGTAATGCTGCAGCAACAAAACATTCAGATTTCAAATCCTTCTCGCAGTTCTCCCACTCTTGCCTCACCACCTCCGCATGGCAAACGCAGATCTCCATGACACGCTCCATCTACTGAATGGTCACCCCGTCTTCGGGTCGGGTTTGAGCGACTTGCGGACGTTGAAACTCGAGAGGGAGGACGAGTGTGATGGCGATCCAGCGAGCTCGAGAGCGTTCGACGAAGAGCAGCCCGGGGCATAATAGTGCGACGAACTACGTGCACGTGTGACTCGTGAGTTCAAATTGAACTGAGGAGGAGAGGGAATTGAGAGGACGTACGTCTCCGACCGAATCCAAGCTCCTCCGTGCTTTTGAATTTGAGTTACCAAACCGTGCCGAGGGCGGATAATGATGTGAAGAGTACGCCGGTGGTGCAGGGGCCGGTGATGTTGAGTGAGATGGAGAAGGGGAATCATATGCCGTCGTTGTGGGGAGGTGAAAGGAAGAGACGGCGAGGTTCAAATAATCGGCACCAGGATAGTACTCATTAGATTTCGTGAACAACAAAGCAAGAAGTGATATTGTCCATAAAAAGAATGTCCAAAATGTCCCAAGAATCAAACCGAACACTCTCAAGGCGTACTCGTTCTCGTCCACGCCTGGTTCGGACCACCGGTACAAGTCCAGATTTGGATCTACAGAAACCGCCGGTCAGCATTTCATCCAAAAGGCGCACAGAAAATGAGCGCACGGGATTGCCATCAGTCTGCGTCCCACCGGTCAAATCCAAACAACTCGACTTTCCCTTCCACTGAATCGTATTCCCCGAAAGCGTCCACATCTGGTTCGTATTCCCACTCGTGCAAGTCCATATCTGCATCTTCGTCCCATCCGCCGTGGCGCCGTTGGTCACATCCAGACACTTGTTGCCAAAGATCTGGAGGGTAGCTCCAGAGACGGTCCACTGCTGGGAAGTCGTAGTAGCGCAGTCTTCGATTTCCACCACGGCGCCGTCTGCGTTGGATGCCGCTGCGATGCATTTCGCGGCGTTGGCGGTGGGGTGGATGTACGTCGTTGCGGTGGGCGTGGCAGTTGGGGGCGTGCTGGTAGGAGTCGTAGAAGTACTGGTAGGCGTCCCGGTCGTCGAGGAGAAGACGGGCGTGCCGGTTTCGCAAGCGATGGAGCCGCCGCATACATCGCCAGGGTCGGGGGTGCCATCACATGTCCAAGCCGAAGTTTGTTGCTGAGCGACTCCGATCGCTTGGTATGGTTGGACTCCAAGGCACTGAGCCATCGTGACGAGTGTTGAATTTCTGGGCCTAGACTCCATCTAGACTCAACCTGGAGTCACGCCCGATTGAACGGACCTCCAATGTGTTTCACTCCATTCAACCTTTTATCCTAACCTTTTATCCAACCATACCTCACATGATATTGTTTCCACTCTTGCTTATTCACCAACCCTCTAGAGTCCTCATTGGCTAGACACCGCATGGACGGACTCCGCTCCCACATGTAACCTCCGTGCCTGCTTCAACCACTACAGTATAT